GTTGATCCAGCGCCCAATCTCACCCTAACCGGGGAAGTAGTAGAGGAAGTAGACAAATTCCGCTATCTGGGTAGCTATATCGCACCTGGCGGACGCATCACAGATGAAGTGTCGGCGCGCATACAAAAGGCTCGATTGGCATTTGCCAAACTGAGACATCTGTGGCACCGTCGCGACATCCGGCTGTCTGTGAAGGGTCGAGTGTATGCTGCAGCAGTTCGGCCAGTCCTGCTCTACGGTGCAGAGACTTGGTCACTAAGGGAACAGGATAAAAATAGATTGTGTCCGGTGGGGAAACCTGACGAGCAATGCTGACGTTGGGCATTGAGTGGTAGGCAGTCGCAGTCGTCCACTAGAGCAAGTGATCGACCTCCATAGAGTACGCTGGTTGGGACATGTGCTACGCATGTCACTAGATAGGTTGCCATGGCGAGCGATGCTTGGCGGGGCAGGTAGCGGTTGAAAAAAAATGAAGGACGGTCAAATTAAGACCTGGCATGAGGGTATGAAAAACTTAATCAGGAGACTAGGTCACATAAGCCTCGTTAGGCTCCCTGGCTGGGGACCTCGGGATAATCGTAACCGATGTTTGGAGACACTAAGTGATATGGCTGGGTGTCGCAAACAGTGGCGCTCATGCATCCACCCGTTGCTCTCCTAACACCACTCTATATCAATTCACCATCTTCCGCTTGAATTCGCTTCGACATTCCAAATGGGCAACCAAATCCGGCGCATGAAAGTGCATGGTTAACAATTGGAAAAACTGAAATGAACTGAACTTCGACTCATCGGCGTAGATCGCCTCCTCAATTAGCTCATCATCGTCTGCGCGATCCATCTATGTGCACACGTTATGAAGAGAAGCTGGGACAGGAACTAGGACAACCGCGACATAGTGGAGTAGATCAACAGTGGAATCAGTCTAGATTTGCGATGCACTCAGCAGTAAACTTTGCTTGTGGCACCGAGCACGAAGTTCACCGAAGACATTGGATATCTCAGAAGTCAGTAATCCTGATGGATCAAAAGCGAAAGATTGCAATCTGCTAGGATCAGCATAAAAACCGGTGTCGTCTGCAACGTCAACTCAGGAAAAGCCTTAGCAAAGATCGAGAAAATGGGTGGACCCAAATAGCCAGTGAAATGCAGATAGCTTCTGCATCAGGTAGTAGTCAAAAACTGTTTCACCGGATACGCAGTACCGGAGGTCGACGCATACCGGTCAGTGAGATCATTTGCGATAAAAGTGGACTGAGTATCCACAATAAAGAACAACGATTTGTTCGCTGGCAGAATATTCTAGTGAGCTGTTCAATTGACCCAGAGCTAATGCGGTCATTCCAGCAATTGCGGTGGAAACTCCAGGGGTGGTAACATGCGAGCCCCCATTAGAATTGGAAGTACCAAGTTGCATTCATTAAAGAACGGGAAGACTGCGGGACCTAATGGACTTCTCCCTATTCTTTTCAAGGTGGGCGGTGATTCTCTTGTCGACTTAATTACTAGCTTACCTCGTAGCATTTGGTCGGAGGAGCGTGTCCCTTTGTCCTGAGGTGAATCGTTGATCGCCCCGATTTTCAATAAGGGATCACGCAACGACTGCGCTAACTACCACGGAATGATGATCACAAGTGTTGACCTCTGTGGTACTTCGTCGCCTGACATCCTTAAGGGAGAGGAATATCCGTGAACAGCAAGTCGGATACCGACCAGGTCGCGGATGCATCGACCAAATCTTCCCTCTGCGTCAAGTCCTCGAACTGTGTCATACACATCGGCCAACAATCGCAGTGTTCGTTGACCTAAAACGGGCCTACGATTCAGTTGACCGTGAAGCTCTTGTGGGATCGCTGCTCCGCAGCTCCTATTGAGTTCCTGTTTTATAAAGGAATGCCGCGGAAGTATGTAAACCTAGCTCGGTCGTTGTATCTGCATACTTCTGGTAGCGTAAGGGTCTACGGTGGACTAAGTAAATCGTTCGAAACCAGGAGCGGTGTCCGTCAAGGGTGCCCTATTTCGCTATTCCTGTTCAATTTCGTCGTAGACGAAGTACTGGAGAACGCACTTACTGGTCTCCAGAACGTGGGTATTCAATGGGCAGCTGGAGAAAAGTTGTGCAATTTAGAGTACACTGATGACATCGTATGCCTGTTCGAATCTATGGAGGATGCGTTTGACAGACTAGCAAGTTCTGTATCTCCTTTCAGCATGCGCTTTGCAGCTTCAAAGTGCAAAGTGATGCTACAAGACTGGGTGTCGTCTACCCCGGCACTGATGCTTGATGGTCAGGAATTTGCTATAGTGGAATGTTTGTTCTAGCTGCGTTTTAAATGATGGTAGCATAGTCAATGAAGTAACCGCCCGCATTTTCAAGGCTCGAGCAGCNGCTACAAGACTGGGTGTCGTCTACCCCGGCGCTGATGCTTGATGATCAAGAACTAGTTATAATAAAATGTTTCTCCTACTTAGGTAGTTGCGTGACCAATGACGGTAGTGCAGCAAACTGCCTGCATTTCCAAGGCTGGAGCAGCTTACGCAAGACGCGATGCTTCACTGAAACCGATAGGTTATGTGTACTGCCCCAGTGTGGGATTAGTTCTGCTTTATGGTTGCGAGACCCTAAATTTGCGCGGGGAAGATATTCGTCGTCGAGAAGTCTTTGATTACCGATGTTTAGATATTTGGCGGGGGTTGGATGGAGCGAGCCTGTAAGCAACGAATCGATGGAGAATTCGTTGCGCCATCGAGTGTAGATTAGTCGGCTTCGCTGGCTACGACACGAGTTGCACATGCTTAGCCACCGTCTACCGCATTGCGCCTTATTCGCAATTGCGGCTCCAGGTTGGAAGAAAACAGGTAGAGGTCAACAGATGATGTGGAAATGAGGCATGAAGAAATGCACAGAGTGATTAGGCAGAATAGGTGTCTCATGTCTTCCAGGTTGGGGTCTAAAAGAGTGCAACTGCTGGTTGGACACTGAAGGATACGGCAGTGAACCGACAGCAGTGGCGTTCTTGTTGTTGTTTCTTATCAGGTTTCAATTCATGAAACGGTTTTTATGAGGAGTTCGATTGCGTACTCTGTTTGTTGACCATAGAGGTTCACTCTTTTTTATCTCCTTCCTATGAGACCCAATCCCTCTCCAACTTCTGCTTTACCACACTTGATTTTTATACATTGTGAACTTGGTAACGATCAGTGAAATTCGCTCCACTGTACTTCGTTGCACGATGATGGCGGTGATGCCAGATATGTCTATTGACCTGCATTAGATTCCTTACGTTGCAAGTGCCAGATTCAGGGATCGGCGTGGCTTCAAAATATACCATACTTACTGTGCTACTGGGCAACGATCTTTATCAAACAACATCCGAGTTTTTTGAGGGGCTACAACAGGTTGGAAGAAGGGTCAAAGCGAAGCTTGGGTACGAAAAATAAAGAATTAAAGAAAGGTTGGGATGTTTGGTTCACTTGTAATCACCCACGTCGCTCGATGCGATGGGCAGCGCCACGACCGATACAATATGAAATTATTTTTAGTTTGTGTGTTCATTGGAGCTTTATGGATGGGTACTTCCAGGGAGTCCAACCACTAATCTGGAGAACGATTAGTGTTCTCAACCAAAGCCTTCAGTTCTGACAAGAACCTAACCGCAATGGAGCGGGTGAAGCGGATTGGAGACCCATTAACTTAGACCAATTACTCCTCCAATACATTTTACCGACCGAGATTACAACACCATCCTGGAGGACCAGGAGACTGGACTTCGTCTGACCTCTGCCCATTGACCTTCCAGGCATGATTAGATCTATTGTTCGACAAAAGCCATCCTGGGTCGCTCGTTGGGTCAGAGAGATGTAGAAGCCATGACACCACGTCTAGGTACAGCATCGTCCTTACAGTACTGTCGTCGGTCTTCTGTGACAGAACGCTGGCCGCACAAAGCCCGCTAAGTCCACGAGTACTATCGTTGCTCGTCCGTGGCCGCCTATTGAGTATACCTAAGCCCGTTTTATTCATGGAAAGGCACCAAATTGATGGATGTTCAACAAACCATGAAGTCGAGACGCACAAAGTAGAATGCAGCTCATTGGTTCCACACAAAAGAAGAATATTATATCGCTGTGTCCCACTTCAGTATTTGTGGGATTTACCAGGGGTCCAGTTCGGAAAGAAAGACGAGACAGTATTCAGTCTATTATAAATACTTTTCGCTTGAATAATAGGTATGGGCATGGCGAGAATACTCACGGTTGATTTTTTTGACTCGTGAACATTCCACTTTTTCCTGCACTCTCGTTTAAATGGGGAGCCGTGAGGCATCAACCGAAACCGGCTCACGACAGTGCACGGTTAATGGTTGTCAAAAAACTGAAATTGTATGAGTCTAATGAGTATTGATACAATGACTGAAATGATCGCAAACCCTATATAAATTATCAATTTGTAGAGAGTACAACCAGAATGCATGACAGAACAGTGTTTGAACAAAGTTGACTATCAAGATTTCAGTCTCTAAAGTTGACCATTTTGTCATAGGTCGAATTTTGAAAAAGTCGACAATTTCTGGGTGAATACGTTGAAGAAAAATTTCTTCCTTGGGCAATCGAAACCATAAAGATTTGGGGCACAAATACCTAAGAACAAGTTTACTCACTAACGTATGAGGCAGTGTGAGCATCGGACAAATTCAAACCTACCATGGACGAAGAGCACCCCACAAATCTGACTTTCTATGACTATTAAGTCACATTTTTTGGTGCCCTCAACGACATGATGCTCTTTCTTTTATAATGTTTCCTATTTTCCATAAAGCCATGGCCCAAAGCCTTGATAACGTGTTTTGGTGAGTCGGCCTGCACACATCTCGAGCCCGTTTTCAAATCCCAGCATGAAGTGCAAGGGATACCTATTTACCTAATCGCTTTGTGCACCTCCCAATACCAGACCTTCGCTTCATATACTGGACTTCACCTAATTTTCTCAGGCAGGTAGACTAGTGCAAATAAGATGCGGTTCGGTAGACGGTAGTTGGGCATGCGCAACCCATGTGGTGGAAGTGGCGCACGGGTTTCTTCGCTGCCACCGACGTGCTTTAAACCCTATGTTCCGAGATGCCAACCCCACCATCAACATCCAACTTTGTCGTCGTCCGGTTTAATATCACACCTAACCTAGGAGCCTTTTCTTTTTCATTTTTCTTTCCTTGCATATACAAATATACAATTTCAATCCAAGGGCTACCATACAACAAACAACGGTGGCAGGTGGTGGTGGTGGGATTTGAGTACACGTGCTCCACGGGCGAAATTTGATGACTACCACCGGAACACCACTGCCCATTTTAAGTCCTTGGGCTCAGGTTGCCGGATCTCATTACTGCATAACAGGTGGTCGCGATTATGGGCTCCACCCTGTCAGCTGTTTATCACACAAATGTGTGTTATAAGAGATACCCTAATCGGTGAAGCTTGCTATTCTTAATTCGATGTGACGATGCATTCTTTGCCGATGCGTTAGCAAACACACGACGACTCGAGGTTATCAATCCGCTCACTCCATCACACGGATTTGACCAATCTATTTGCGATCTAAGCCTATCAGAACACCACAAACTGAAAATGAACAGAGTGAAATACAGAAAGGATAAAACGCATCATTGCGACAACACGCGAAGGATCTTGACTAATTGACGACACCCTTGGGATCGATAAATGAGCTAATCGTCATGTCATACCTGGCATTCCGAGAGCGACTTAGAACCTTATATCAGATTCAAACTTAATACAGGTATCATGTTTTAGAATCGCTGGTGGGAACTTTTTACAAAGCTCTGACTGAATGGTAAACGATTACATGATAATAAAATATTGCGGCTGAAGGCTAAAGAACACGACTAGCAACCTTGAAAGGCCCAGGTTACCTTACCGAATCGGGTCTCATTATCATTTGACTGCATACAAAATCCTATGATTGCACGCCATACGGTCATACTGGTCCAGATGCTAATTGGGATCAATCTAATCAAAGAGTGGACGCCACGTACCTTGCTCACCGCCGCCTTGTTGATCAACGGTCCAATGCGTGTATCTGGCTGCAATCCATCACCCATCCGCAACTGACGTACAGCGGCAACTGCACGCTGCACAAATTCATCGTACACACAATCCTCCACCAGGATACGGTTGGCCGAAACACAAGTCTGAATGATGGGATACGCAAGGTGTGCGCACACAACCAATTATACATAGAAACTTGAAAACAATAGTGAAATATTCAAAAAACTGGAGCACTATGTGAATACGCCCCCTCAGTTTTACAATCATAGATTGCGGGGCATCACCGCATAGTTCGTATATCCAAACCCAAACAACGCGAACATTTGCCAAAATCGATTTCGATTCATATCATGCATCAAATGATGAAGTGAATGACTGAGCCTCGTAGTTACAAGAACTGTCTACCGCAATCGGTAAGCTTAACCTAGAGACTTTAAATGGTGAACGTCCGGGTAAAAAAACAGCCGTTTCCGGTTTTAAACAAAGGATATTATGAATCCCAGAGGGAGTAACAGCAACTTGAGTCACCACTAACTAAAGAGCAAATAAAAAAAATGATTCCTGCATACCCCACAATTTCAAGTAGAGTTATCGACCAAGGAGGAAAGCTTGTGGCGAACTATTAATCATACACTTGTTTTCACAACAGGAAAGATGTTGTGGCGGTGTCATTTAACATTTGTTTATTGATTACCCGGGAATTTTTCTTGGTCCAATCGATGAACATTCAATATGTCCTTGTGAGAGCAAACTTGAACTTCATGCACAACAGTTTAATTGAACGTATTGCGATTAAAATTAATTGAAGTTTTGGCGTAATGATTTGCACACATTGACTTGTGGTAGGGAATATATGATGCAAATTTCTGGATTAACTTCTATAAAAGACCATTCCGTTCTCACGTGCTTTAAACGAGTCGTTCTTCATTCAAGCATCCAAACTGGTTCGATACAATTCCTAGTAGTTCTGTCCCAGTGTTTGTGTCCTTTGATTCCGGAGTAGTAAAGCGTTCATGATCCTGGGTTGTAAAACTCTCTAATTGCCAAACAGTACAAATAATTTTTGCGTAGTTTATATGAAGACATAGAAACGATACAAGACAGTATATGTCATATAATAAAATGAAGAAATTAGGTAAGTGCCGACAGACCGCATCAAACAACGATGTACTTCAGTTATTATAACAGCAGCGAATCGAGGAAAATAAAATGAACACACAAATAAAATACATATTTCGATTAAAAAACTGATATTGACAAGCATGTACGTTTTTGTGTCGTTGGGTAAAACGTAAGAGTCAGTCTAAAATAGCGAAAATGAATCACGGTAAAAAGCATTTAGTGCTAAAACAACCCACCTGACCGGAGCATCGGAACTTCGATGCGATCATACCTTTCACGGCCAAATCGAGGTTGGCTGAGGCGAATACAATGAAGGGCGCATTGCCTCCAAGTTCGAGCAAAACACGTTTCCCGTGAGCAGCAGCTTGTCTGTACAGCAGCTGAAGTGTAGAAATCAAAGAAGTGAAACTATAAGGATGGTTTACCGTGCCTTACCACTGTTAAAAATCGACATAAATATCCTTGTTCTGAATGTGTTTGTACTAGTTAGCATTGATCAATTTCTCAGTATATTTATTTGCAATAAACGTTGATTGGTCTAACAAGCTTGTTTGTAGAGAAAGCTTGGCAGTAACTCGTGATGCAACTGATGAGTTTGGAGCGTGGTTACTGCAGCTGATTAATGGATGTGCTGACTGTGATGTTTTCAATGAAGATGAAACAATTTTTTATTACAGGCAACTCCCAGAAAGAGCATCAAGTTTCAAAGAATAAACAGGTTCTGGACCCAAGAAATCCCGAACAAGGCGAGCATAACCGGAGAAAAGTTATCACCGTTAGTGATTGAAAAATTTCAACCAAAACGACACCTCCCAGGTATGGATAGAAAAAGCCTTCCCTGCAATTATAATTCTTCAAAGAACGCGTGGATGGCTTCTGCGTTGTTTCGCAGTTGGCCGTTTGGTGTTAAACGTATGATCGGTTCTCAAAGACGTTCTAATTTGCTGTTTATAGATAACGCCCCTTGCGATAACAAAGTCGCAGTATTCTGCAAATTCAAATTAATACGGCTGCCTCCAAACTGTTCTTCAGTGTTACCCTCAATGAATCAGGGTGTGATTTGGTTATTCTAATGTTCGTTTCGGAAATATTTATTAGAGTATGTTTTGTATTGATCAAAGATAAGCCACTTAGAATGAAAGCTGAAGTGGACATCATGATGGGCATGCATCTGGTCGATAAAGCTCTGATGCCTATGCATCTGCACCTGCTGATCAACCATTTCGTTGATGCTGGATTGAAACCCAAATTGAATCAGGCGATGATGCAGCCTCAAGAAGATAAATGTGATCTGATTGAAACTTTATTCACTACGTGGGAAACGTACATGTAGGTTGCAATTTTCCAATAACCAACAATGATAAATTTTCTCCAATCATCCTCCCACAAAGCAGTAACGTAACTCTTTCTTTGGATTTATTGGATCCAGGAACTGTTTTTCCTTTGAAACTTGATGTTCTTTCTGGGAGCTGCCTGCAATGCAACGCTGCTTCATCTGCATTGAAAAAATCCGTCAGCACATCCATGTATCAGTTGAGGTAAACACGCTCCAAATACGTCCACTGCATCAGATGATACAGTCAAGGTTTCGCACAAACCTATAACGTAATATAAATGAGTAGATGTTTGTGTCTAACTTTGTAGGATTGAATACCACAACTGTCTGACCACACTGAAACCAACCTTTGGAAGCCCTGAAGTCACAATGGATTGCCTTCTTGTAAACCCTGTGCTTTCCTTTCATGTCAGGGTTGCCTCATTCTTTGTTTTGAACTTTTCGTTGATTTTCAGATGGCACCTTTCCTGAGATGCTCGAGCGTTCACCAATTCTTCAATAACCGCTCCATTGGATATAACACTGCTAACAGTTTTTCTTCAAATACTGAATGATTTGTCTACGGAGCTATGAGTTGCACCTAGCTGATACAGCATTTCTAACACACCATGCTTGATCGATAAGTGCTTGCACATTTTGAAGTCGAGTGACACCATCTTTGATTGTTGGCATCGATTCGCCTTTCTCACTATGATTATCCAATCAATGAATCAGTGTCATGTTCGCGTCACACTAGATGAAACGTCATTAGCTGAATTAGACATTGCAGGCTGGTTGGTCTATGACCGACGCAATCCACTACTGTCTTGCTCAGTTTATCCGGTTTTGTTCCAATGAGGCAACTAAACTATACAGGTCACTAACTGGTTTGGAATATTAATGCCGCAAAGTAAGTTGAGTTTGGATGGGCAAAGCGTGGATGTGCAACCTCGGGCTCGGAGACCAAGAAGTAAAACAGCCCCAATGGTATTGGAGACACGGTTCTGTATCCCTTTCACACGAAACTCTACGGATCAAATCGATGGAGTAGACTTAACTTCAAATAGAAGATAATAGAATGAAAACTTTTTAACACCGGTAATTATCGATTCATTTCACCTACCCCAATCTGCACGAAAGCAAAGGAAATTATCGTCATTGACTGAATGTGCTTACACCGCAAGGGTGGATAACAACTAATACTAACTAATAACACTAATACGGCCTCCCAATCACCTGGTAGTCTACGAGCGGTGGTCTCGTATAATTAGTTACAAATGCTAAGTAACAGAGATGGGATAGTTCACGACAAGTATCCCGGGTAGTTCAAAATCTGTTGACTGTTTGGGGCAGAGGACTGTAGAATAATCGCTCTAGTTTTCAGTTTCCTACGGAAGGCAAGAGGTTTACCTGGTAATCGCATCAGTGCTATCCGGGTAGATGATACTCCCGATCTCGCGGATCCTTTGTCTGTGAGTGGGGGTAAAGATCAATGTTCCGTAAACTCAGTTCTAATTGCCCTCCGAATAAGCAAAACACGTTTTTCCTAAAATTTTAAAACCAATAATATATTTGAAGAAATATTAACATTCGTAGTTCTTTCACAAATCTACATTTCAGTGCTATGATTGCTACCAATGATTACGATCTTTAGGCTCTCACTCGGATGGGCCTTCATTTAGGGTTGAAACAAAGGCATTTAATTCAATTATTCCAAGAATTACCCCATTCACCATAACCATCAGTTTTCTACGGTCCACGACATTTACACTTCGTCCACCATGCCCCTCTTCCACTGATCTGCTCACTATCATTATTATTACTATCTCCTCCACTCCTTCTTCCCAGGGTATTGTGAAAATTGTTTGACTAACTTCATATGACGAGTAGAAGATGGGATTCACTTTAGGCACTCAAATAATCCCCGCACACATACTTTTGACCTCAGTAGGTAAGTGTGGATCATCCTCTATCAGAAGGACCATTCGGTTTGGCAACAACCGCTGAAATGAGCTCAGATACCAGCCTCCAACTACCTGCTCGACTGTTACTTTCCTGTTCATTTTTCTTCTCTATTACTTGGATTTTTCGTTTTTACTGGCCTTAATCTTTTCACATTTTCCCGCAAATCTGTCTCAAGATATAAGACGAGAGAGAGCAGTACATCTTATATTGTCTGGTTTAATTCTAAGCTTATTCCATCGAATAATCCATAGTCCAATTCGAGGATGACATAAATGGTGCCATTCCCATTCAGTAAGATTATTTCTATCTCATACATTGAAACTGGAATTTCAAAATGATCTAATTGAAACTTTCTAAATAGGGGCGAGAAAGCTGAGATTCAAACGATTAAAGAAATTAGCTCTGATAGTCTCACCTTTCCGACAGCTGTCGATCCGGTAAAACCAACGAGTCTTACGGCAGGATCCTCACACAACAATTCCCCGATAGCCTGAGCACCATCAGGATCGCGAGAAGCAGTGATGGTGTTCAACAAACCCAAAGGAAGTTTTGCGTGAGAAGCGGCCAAGTGTGTGATGGCCAATGCCGATAGTGGTGCGTCTTCAGCCGGTTTGAGGATTACCGCACAACCTGCAGCCAGAGCAGCACCAGCCTTGCGTGTTATCATGGATAACGGGAAATTCCACTACAGATAATCGATAAGGCAAGGAACGAATGGAGGGTTGCTAAGACAGGCCTCCGACTAGTTGCTTAGCTATTTCTGAAAAATTGTTTCAATTATGCACCAAAAAAGACAAAACAGAAAACGTCATCGGATGACCATCTTCATCTTCTTCAAATGATCGTGTATTTCGCACGTGTCCGAATCCAGGCTGTGTCAAACAAATCATGGTAAAATAGTCTTTGTAAAAAATATAAAAAAGTGCATGTTTTGCTCGAGGGCACGATCCTCACCCGAC